GACATTTGCAGGGTCAGACGTTTGTAGATAGAAACGAAGCGTTTGAGCTGGTGCAAAGTTGCTTGCAAAGCTTCATCGAATCGCTTCCTTTGTAAAGAGCATCCACAAGCTTATTGGAGAAAATGTCTTTCTTCATGGTATTTGACTAGATATAATTATGTTATAACTTGAACAGGTTACCGCTCGCATAAATAAATTTTAATTGAGGTAATAGTAAACCGCAAAACATTTATCATTTCGCGGAACGTGGAACAAAACGTATAGCCGTATAAAGAGTCAGAGATTTAAGTTTCATACAAACAGGATCAACTCGTTAATTAATCTCATTTAAGGGATGACGAGGACGAATTAGCATTGGCGTAAATTCTCACATTTCAAATTCCCAAATTAATAGTGGATTGAACGGGTAGGGGAGGAGGGGGGAAATTTTCACAGCGCGACTCTGCCGACGAACTTTACAGCGTGCAAAAAGTTTTTGTTGACAACAAAACTTCAGCGGCTAAAGATAATCCCATTGGATGGCGTGAAGGCTTGGACTTAAGCCAATAAGTTCATACATTTCATTACGACCTTCTGAGAGTGCTTCTGCAGTAAAATTATATGAAGGGCGACCGAGCAAAAGTGCGCCAAGTTACGTCTATGCGGTGCTAGTCGATCGTATGCACTTTAGGTTCTTTTGGCAGCAGGAGCGCGATGGTAACCTAGATAGTAAGTGGCCTAAGACGGTGTAGTATGCTCTCAAAACATGCACACAACTTGTAGGGAATTATTAAATGTACAGGGTTATTCATATGACGTTTTACCCCCCTTAACTTTTTTATTTTTTGAGTTAGACAAAAATAGTAACGATAAAAGTTGTAGGGAATCTTTCTGTGAGTTTAATGAGTTTATGAAAATAGAAATTATATAGAGCGTTCCAAAGATACGCACCAAACTTATGTTTTTTTTAAATAGAACACCCTGTATATTATTCGATATTTCAATTGTGTCATGGTTTTTCGATAGCTATCTTACTTTGGGAGATAATCGACCCTGTTTAAACAAAACCATTTTTTTTTTATTCTTAGGTGTATTTGTGGTTTCAACAGTTATTCTGGAAAAATGCAACATATTTTCCCGTGTATTAAACAAAGTAAAAAACAATTTGTACACACAAACAATGTTTCAATTTCGATGCCCTTGTTTGTTTACATTTCACCTTTTCAATTTTGAACCTTGATGGGAAAATGTAATAATTTTATAAAGTTCTCCCTGAATCAATTAAATTCTGTCAATATTGTCGTTCTTACTAATCCAAATAACAAGTAAATATTTTTAGTTGTTTTCTAAATTTTGACCGAGCGGGATAAAGTAAAGCTGCAAAGTGATTAAATGTATCGAACTTTGGATTAAAAAATGTTCTCCGTTACTTATTATCTCATCAAAATGGCAACATTTACGTTATACAGGGTAACGCTAAAATGCTTCTTCAAACTTTAATGAACGATTTTACAATAAAAATTAATAACAATAACAGTAATATGATATTATTTATTATTCTAACAAGAAAATGACAGAAATAAGAACAGAGAAAATGTATTACATATACGATTACTTAATATGTACTACATACAAACATAAAAAAAACTAATAGAATAAAACACGTATATTGGAATTGTTCGCCATAGTCCATCTTGCAGATGAATTTAACCTATAGAAGAATCGATTTCAGAATAAAAGTTTCAAATCTTGAGCAAATAACTAGTGTTTACAAGTACAGAGTTCTGGAAGATCGTTAATAAATAATAATATTAATGTAGGACCTAAATTGGAACCGTGTGGAACTCCAGATGTAGGGAAAACTACATCGAAATGAAATTTCGATGTATGATCGTAAATTGTAAATTGTCTGTCACAAGTAATGAAGAGAATTGCTATAAATAACATATCACTTTCGAAATAAAGAGTGTTCAAACTTATTGGAAAGGTGTTATTTCAAGATGCAAAATGCAGTTAATATCGTAGCACTTTTAACAGTAATTGCTTATGACAAAATTATATAATTTATTTTGAAAACGGCGCATTCTATCAGACGTATAACAACAACACATTAATGTGCATCAAATTTAAATGCTCGTGCGTTTATGGTGAAAAAAATCGTTCTAAAGGCAATCCAATTTAAATAATAATAATATACCAACCCTCCTCACTACTGCTTTTGGCTCCTGAACTAATTCTGATGCTTAGAATAGAGGACAGAAATATTACTGATAAAGTTATGACACAACAGATAGGAAATATGTAATTTTCTACAACATCTCCAATTTCAAAGTAGGCAAATTCCGAAAAACCAACAGAAATCTAATTAACTCCATATCTGCGAGATAGAATCGCAAAAGCGTATATAGAATAGGCGGGCAACGGAGAACTAGGGGTCAGTAGTACTAAAAGTTATAAACGTATCCCACTTTATGACTACATGAAAACATATAAACAGAATGTCTTCCGGGAATATGGGGAACACATGCAGGCCCTTACTAACGCTCAGCTAGGAATATCATCGGAGCATCATAATTTACTATAATGCTGGAGTTATATATTAGAATAAGCGAAGCATCTTATATTGCCAATATAGATCAAGCTGCAAAATTGCACCTGCTACGTATATTTAATTAATTTGATACAGTACAAGACACAGTGTACTAGTAATTTAACTACGTTTGCTGCATGGTATTATTAACATTTTTATCGTATGATATCGGTATGGAGATGAAATAAACTGTGGCAATTTATCGAATATAATTTAGTTGCTAAGTTATGAGACAATTGATGATTGACTGTTGCTAAGGGATTTGGTCAAATCCAGTTTAAATGTCCTCTGAAATATGGATCCTAAGTATGTAATTGCCTAAGTTTTCAGTTAAGTGTCCGAACCCAAATATTTGCAATTCAGTTTTGCGCGCTTGCTGCTGGCTATTTGGTTAGTTACAGTCGATAAGTATCAGGGACCGGCCTGGACAAAGGATTTATCTCGTCGAATTGCCGAGGAATACCTAATTAATCGACAGTTGTCAAAACTGCATAGATATCCTCGGGTTCTTGGGAATTTTAGACAATGTAATCGCAGCAATGCAGCAATGCACACAGCTCAAAATATCCATGCATCTGTTTTACTTCGTTATCTAAACCATACATTATTCATACAGCTGAAGGTTTATGGCTTTTCCACAGTCCTAACATCATAAATAAGTTATTATTAACTTTAAGGAGATATTTCTCATAAAATAAGAAAAAAAAACACGTATAATTTTTTTTCCAGAGACGTATTAATTTTTTTTTATAATTTAATGAGTCTGAGTCCCCATAACTCCGCCACTGGTTGCTTGCGGGACTTGTACTTCTATGGAAAATTGGTATTTTATAAGAAGATGTGTCATGCCAAATTTGGCTTAAATAGCCTTCTTCATTTAGAAGTTATTCTGTATTTCGAAAATGAAGCGTCTCTGGAAAATAATTTATACTTGATTTTTTTCTTATTTTTTTTTATGAGGAATATCTCCTTAAAGTTTGTCGACTTAATCCTGAAACACCCTGTATAACGCAAATGAATAATTTAGATAATAATGTATTTGGTGTTTGAGAATAAACTATACATTAATTTGAACATTAATTATAAACAAAGGAATAACTATTTACCCTCAAATTTTAAAATTAAAAATATTGTGTTTTTCACGTTTTTTTGTTCAGTATCTGGTACTATGTGTTCTAAATAACTAAAAAATAATTTATATATTAGAAATTGTAAAAAATAAGCATATATATTAGCATTTTTGAATATTCTGAGGGTTGCATGAGAAATGATCCGTTTTCCTCAGAAATACGACTGGCAATTGAAAGAATCAGTTGAATTTCCTTAATAGTTTCGAAATTTCCAAAAGTTGGTACTGACTCCACAACTGGCTGACGTATTGATACGCTCATTTTAACTCTTATTTAGATAAATCATTGGCTCAAGTTTTATCAACTTGCGTCAAACATCCTCAGAGATATTCGATAAACTGTAAATTTGTTCTTGATCCAATATCTCGAAAATTTCATATGAAACTTCTTGCTGAAAATCATGTTCATTCACCTAGTGAAGTTTCCTGATTAAAACTTGGTATTTGCAATTTTATAACATCTGAAACTTTGGAAGAGCAGTTTATGTAAATTGTCTTACGAGTGCAAAGGAAAATGGACTATAAATTATTATTACTTTATGGACCCAAAATAGGACGGAATGGAGACATTGTCAGTATTAATCATAAGATAAATTTAGGTGTTACATTACGTTATGATAGACGACGAGTATAAATGCAATAACAAAGTACAAGTATGGGAGCTCTAGTACGAGTAGACACCTCAAAGTCCCGAGAGATTTGTATGATTCACTAGTGGCTTAAGAAGTGGTTCGACGTACAAATTGTTAGTCCCCAAAGTTGTTATCTATTGCCTTAATGTGCCTTTACTGTTAAATGGCATGTTTCCTTATAAATGTTCCCTCCTCCTCCTTTTATGATACGCATTAAATTGTGTATTAATAATTCCTTTTAACATATTTTTATGTAACAAAAGTTTTAAATCAACCTTGCAAGAGAGTATCTAAAAAAAAACAGAAAATAATCGTATTTGTTGGCTCTTAGGAAATTTTATTATTTCATAAACTTTATCAATAGAAGGTAGAAGATAAATTAATTCCATATAGAAAAATCAATCTTAAAAGTTTGTCGAAACGTCAATGTTTACCCTGTATTATTCAAACAGTGCATAATTCCAAGTCCCAAACAGTTAGTTGCACTGATGTTACCAACTAAATCAACTTTTATTTTCGAAGACTGCAAGTACATTTTTTAACAGCATTCAATACTAATGAAATCGCGGTGGTCGTGAATGGAGGCACTTTCGGAAATGTTCTAAAGGGGTTACTGACTGAATATAACACATAGGAACATAAATGTCTAGAGTATTAAGAGAGCACAGACCTGAATATAGCTGGAGTTTATTGGCTGGACTTCTCTGTTCGATTGGAACTTCACCATATCTCTGAGCACCTCTTTCACCGAGGAATCGTCGATGTCCACGACTCGGAACGCGGTCATGTTGACGAAGTTGTACTTAAAATCTTCTAGGTCGAAGGTTTCTATGTCGAAGGTGGTGAAGAGGTAGTGGTACTTGTAGTCGTTCATTTGCAACTGGAGTATCTGAAAATAAAACCGATTTGTTTATAAAAATGTCAGTATTTTTCTTCGTTTCTAAATTTCTTCATCATAATATTGGATATAATGAAATATTTTGAACAAAAGCCAACATATAGTTTTTTAGATTTGTGTGATAATTTATGTATAACTTGAGTTCACTACAGAATATTTTCTGCATCTGTAATATTTCACAAAACCGGATACTGCACGTTTGGAATATACAGTTGTAATCACGAAAAGATGTATGTTCGTGCACATTTTCACATGAAAATAAAATACCCTAGGTCTGTAGCTGACGCAGGAAATTATTAAGGCGGATATTTCCGATGCACTCACAAGCAATAATATATAGGTGACGTCTGCATCCGATGCTGTATTAGAAAAATTTCATATAACGATGCCGTATTCTTGCAGCTATCGGTATCGAACACCTAAGAAAATTTACGGTTGATGAATACGACTCGGTGTCGCAAAATGTTCCTTCCTACAGGTTTTCCGAGAAATGTTTGCATAAAAGGTATCGGTATANAGAGGACAACAAAACAAACAAACAGTAAATGGTACATGTTAAAATAAGATTATGAGTAATGTAGTAAGAAAAAAAAACTGAAACAATGCAACTGAAGTGAGCGAAGCTACGTCTAAGATAGTCATATTAGAGTGAGATCACTTTTTAAAAATTCTTGCGTAGTATAAAATGCGTTGGTTAATAGAAGTGTTTTATTTTTCTTTTAAATAAAGTAGGGTCATAATATTGGATATAATGAAATATTTTGAACAAAAGCCAACATATAGTTTTTTAGATTTGTGTGATAATTTATGTATACCTTGAGTTCACTACAAAATATTTTCTGCATTTGCAATATTTCACAAAACCGGATACTGCACGTTTGGAATATACAATTGTAATCTCGAAAAGATGTATGTTCGTGCACATTTTCACATAAAAATAAAATACCCTAGGTCTGTAGCTGACGCAGGAAATTATTAAGGCGGATATTTCCGATGCACTCACAAGCAATAATATATAGGTGACGTCTGCATCCGATGCTGTATTAGAAAAATTTCATATAACGATGCCGTATTCTTGCAGCTATCGGTATCGAACACCTAAGAAAATTTACGGTTGATGAATACGACTCGGTGTCGCAAAATGTTCCTTCCTACAAGTTTTCCGAGAAATGTTTGCATAAAAGGTATCGGTATAAATTGTAACAAAAGTTACTCTAATCACTTTGGAGTATGTGATTCCAGAGGATTTTATTAGTAAATAGAATATACTGCTAATAATCATTTTCAGTAATCAAAACCATTGAAATTGCAAAACGCTACTTAAAATGGATAATAATCAAAATTATTGGAACATGTTGAGAACATCTGGAATAGTTTCGTGGATGGAGTCAGCGGTTCTTAAAATGTTTCCTCGCATTATTGTGTTCATTCGCATTTTTCTGCTTCTTTTAATCCAGGTTGATTTAATTATTCTTCAAAAACCGTTTCCAAGTTTGTAAACACATACATGGAAAAATATTAAATATGTTCACCATTTTTTCACCGGTTTTCCCTTTTTTAATTACTCAATTAAAAACACAGATCCCGAATGCATTGTATTAAATCCAGGTCACTGACCGAATGTGCTTACCCCTTTGAGGAAGTGCTGCATGTTCGAGGGTTTCGTGTCTATGACGATGTTGTGTATCTCCTTGCTCTTGATCTCCTTCAGAACGGCTCGATAGGATTCCGGGTCTGCCTGGCGCAGGTGGATTTCCAGGTCGCCGTTGTGAGGTGACCGAACCAGCTCTCTCAGTTTTATTAGCCCTGCAACAGCAATCCGACATTAAACCAACATTGTACCAACATATTTTTATACGAACTCGCATCCAATGGAACTACCACCTAACGCAACTGTCGCCTCAACAAATTATTAGACTAATACCTAGCTTTTACTGGATATTGCGGGTATAATTCAGTGCTGTCTGGGGCACTAGTCCGCAGAGTAGTTGGTTCCAATATCATCAGTTTTTACAGTATTTTATTACTGACATGAAACATCCCGGATGGGAAACTCAAATTTTATATATTTGTTATTGATAAACCAGTTGAAGATTAGAACCACCTTAAATTCCGAATTTTATGATTCCGAAGCGTACAAATTTCCAATACTCTATGGATGGCATTGGATTTTAGCCGTTCGAGATCTCGCTTACTTATTGCACATAGAGCGCCTGAAACCAGTTTAGAGTAATAGCCTCATTTTCATCTGCTGATTTATTATAGCGACCTAGATTATTTCCCAATTTACAATTTTACTTTATGGGATGTTTCTTTATAGACACTTCGACACGTAATAATTGTTTACAGTTACAACACATAGATTTCTATTATAGATTTTGCTAAATAATGAAACGTTTCCTTTAGCTTCTTTTACAACCTAGATTTAAGTTTATGGAAGGCGTTTGTGAAAAGGAAATTGCTTATTGAAATTGAATATACTGCATTTGAAGGAACATTGGAGAGAAAACAATTTGGGAAAATAGATACATTGTATGTATTGTCGAATAAATCATTTTGTTATATATTTACAAACACACAAATATACAAAGTCTTTCTTTCAAACATTAGGAGTTCCTCAAGGGTCCATACTTGAACCCCTTCTGTTTGTTATTTTTATCAATGATATTGTCACATTAACTTTGTTTTGGACTGTAAAAGTCTTCAAAGTAATATTTCGCTATTGTTTATAAATGTGATACAAAAAATGTTTCTTCATAGATTTATATTTTATTGTTTCTTTTATTTGTCTTATTTTTGTTGTTTTTGTTATTTGTGTTATTTTCATATTTTGAAGTTGGCGTTTATATCATATTTTGCTTTTTTGTATTCTCACTTTGTAGCTTTTATATTTTTAAATTCTTTGTTTGCATTTTGCCATTTATTTAAATTGTTTTTATATTGTGTTTTTTGTAGTAAGTTTAAATTGTTTTACAATCAGTTTAACCGTTTATTCGTTTTCTACTTATAGTATTGTAAGAATGTACAGACTTTTTTTTTCACGATTGACTGACGACGAAAAGGACATTGCCGAATAAAACCGCATTAGAGTACATAAAGACTCTGTCCGTCAATATCGAAAATACCGCCAGTTCATGCTAAGGCTTCATTAATTTTACATATTATTAAAGCATCGTTGGTAACTTGATTAACAAAGCGAGTGCCGGGCTTTCAGTGCTTTGATGCTTCGTGTAAAACAGTTGGAAGGGTTAAGACCATCTTGAAATATCAAGAGGAGTCTTTGTACCTCAGGATATCCAGTGTAGTTATGAAAGTATTTTATCAGGATATATGAGTGTATAAAGTGAATAAAAGAGGAAATATTTTAATTTAATGATTTAAGTATGAAGTATGAATATTATATGATCCTTCATCTAGTAGGTTTAATACAGCTATGAATATATATGTTTTCACTTTTGTTTTTGTTCAATAAGATTTAAATTTTCCTACTACGGAACTCCAGAAGTTTTACAGAGACGACGTGCTATGTTTTTATTTAGGTTATACTGACAGATCCGGAAGATCGATTGCCTCCTGCACTTCCAACTTCAATTTTCCTTTATCCTAGAACGCACTTTGGAGAGTCCCCTGAGATCTCCATACTAAGTCTGTGTTAAATCCGAATATCTGAATGCTTAAGTATGGGTTTCCACCAACTAAAACTATTGTTGATGATAAAGCGCATCCTTAGAAAACAAAACCAATACCTAGGGATATATGATATGTAGGGCATAAAAATATATTTTAATAACGCACGCATCATTGTTTGAGTACTGCTGAAATATTTAAATCTAGCCGATTGGCATCACTTATTGCCAGCTGTTACTACTTTAACAATATCTGAAGGAAAATTCACTTGGACAGATCATTCGTGTATTAATAGCAATAATATTTTTATTTTGCCCACTCTACAGACAGTGCAGAAAAGCCAAAGATTTATACACTTCCGAAAGGAGCGATTTGGTGCATAAATTGCATAGTCTATTTTATTGGCTAAGTTATTTCTTAACTTTGGGCGTTAGTTTCGATTGTTATTGTTATTATTACTAGATATTGTTTTATTACAATAATGCATAACAACAGTAATTGGTGGATGTGATTGATATACGGTGAATGTAGACAAAATGTCGCGACTGCAGAATATTTGTATGTGAATCGTTTTTCCACTCGTCATACTTGATGCACTAAATTATTGATAACAAGATTGCCTTACTCTTAGATGAAACTTTCTTTTTGTGCGGCTGTATAATTTAACCACTTTTTAAAAACTGAATATGCTGATTGATAGATATAATAGGACGGTACAGTTTAATAGATTTCTCATTCTTAACTTAAATACTTCAAGAATTTGGAAAATGAAGAAAAATGATGTGTTTATAAATGCAAAACTGGAGACAAAATTTCATTTACATAAAAAGAAAAAGCTTTCAGAAATATTAAGTGACGAACACTTAGAAGTTGCATGGTAGATTTCTCTAATTCGGAAACTTTCATACATAAATTTTAGCGTCTGCTTTCCAAAGAATTGCTTGAACATCTATTCCGCCATGTTCCTACAATTTATGACGTAGTCATCAATTTTTAAGAAGGCGACTTTCCAGATTTGGCTCGATCTTCTAAAGATTTACAGTTTTAGAGAATATTTATCTCATAAAAATTTTAAATGAGCCTTCCGTAAAGAATTTAATTTTAATTCTAATGAAAGTTTTGAAATTTCTAATAAAATCTCTAAATTATTGGTCATATAAATGCGCCTTAAAAAGTTTAGCACAATTTCAGTAGTCATATAAGTAATACGTAAAATTCTACTGGGTTCGACACTGTTTATCCCAAAGAAAAATAGTATTAACAATTTTTTTGGTAAATTAAAGTTCTTAATTGCCAAATATTACAGCATACCAATTTTAGATGAACAAAGTGTTTTCGAAAACGTTGTTATGTTTACAGATTCCAGATTTAATTGTGGACGCACAAATTTACAAAATTCAGGACTTAATAACCGAGAATAACAAAATTCGGCATCGCATATCTCAAATTTAATTTAATTGGGACATTCTAAGGGTGCGTATATATATTTCAACCACGAAATATGAATACATGTATGTTTTTAATTAAATTCTACTTCATCGTTATATTTTAGGCGCCTGTAATTACTGCTAAATATTACGAATTTTTTTACTTGCAATAATTACTGAAAGGAATTATAATATTTTATGAATCCATGCAGATATACAGAAAGATATGATTGTAACAATTTAATTTTTTTTAAAGTGTGCTAATTTAAAGTACAATTTTCTTTATTATCAAAGTTTTCTCGTCCAATATTCTTATTAAAATAAAAAAAGTGATTAAAAAGCTTGTTCAACGAAGTAAATTATTTGAAATTTAATGCAAATGTAGTCCTCTCTCACCGTAATCTTCCTCATAAACAATGGCCACTTTCGTCCAGTTGAGGAAGTTCATCACGTCCTTGAAGGCGGCGTTCAGCAGCTGCTGGGCGGGGTGCAGGTTAATCGAGAACTCCCTGACGTCGGCGTCCAGGTCCAGGCGGGCTTCCAGATGCGGAATGTCGAGTGCGTCGCATATGGAGTGGATGTGTGCACCCAGCAGGGGATCGGATGGTCCGAAAACGGCGTGGACACCGAATTGGACTTGATTGCACGCTGAAACAAAAAGCGGCGCATCATAAATTCTAAGAACGCTTGCGGTGAATGCACGTCAGGTCTGTTATGTACGTTTTTTGGTGTCTACAGGCTGTTCCGGGGTTTTGTTTGTGTTTTGTACGACCGAGTTATTATACATGCACGAAATGGGGGCGGTCTGCAAAATACCGCAATATTTTCGACAGGACAATGCGATTTTTAACGGTAGCTGTGAACTTTTATATAAAAAGAGGTTAAAGTGAATGGGAGCACGGTTAGTAAACACGTAGATATAGAATGTATCAGGAATTATGTCAGGATTAAAACATTTACTTATTTATTTGAATCACATATTCTTGAATTGTTGATATCACATTCAGTTTTCGTGATATTGTTATTTGAGTGCAACATGTTTAAGACTTAGTGGCGATTTTGGAATCTGCGATTTTCTGGAACGATTAAAATAAAATTTTGGGGGAAACTGGAGAAAACTTTCATGAAAACATTTCAACTTTTGAATGGTTTTTACGACTTAAAATGGTCGTCAGTCAATTGAAAATAATCCTCGACCATGGAGGTCTTCGACTCCAACTGGTGACTACCACGTTCAAAAAGTAAAAAATCTGGTCTGTGCAATTCATCGATTGGCTGTCAGAGAAATTGCAAAAGAGGTTAGCATCTCAATTGGGTCACGCCACGAAATTTTGACTGAAAAATTGAACATGAATCGAGTTGCAGCAAAATTTGTCTCTGGTTTGATGACCAAACAATAGAAGGAAAATAGTGGGGACGTTTGTCGGAATTTCTTATACAATCCGATGACGATGAAACATTCATTCAAAGGATCATAACGGGAGACAAGTTCGGTTATTTTCTGGACTGACGTCGTACACCTACAATAACATATTAGTTTCCACAGTCATAAAAATGGGGGGAAGATTATTTACAGGGTGGTTAATTGTACAATTTTTAGGTAAATTCACGTTTTTCGCTATAATTTTTTTTAAATTTCAAATTTGCAACCTGGAATTTTTTTTATGTTTTGTTCCAAAATGAAGTATACGACGCACGAGCGTAATATAGTTATACTGGGTGTAACGTAAAGGTTGGGAATAAATTAAAGGGTGGATTATTTGGTTTAAAAAATAAATTTTTCTCATATGAAGTTATGCTCTACGGGTTTTCTTTTCCAAGCTACAGGGCGCTAAAAAGTTTCAAAAAATTTAGTTTTTCTGGAATAACTTTCGAACATTATAAGATAATGGAACGAAATTTTAGCCTTAACTTAATTTAATAATCCCCCAGTAACAGGAAAAAGATTGACTTTGTGAGTTACTCAGTGTCGTGCATACGGATTGTACCGTAAGGTTTTTCGAAGAAAATTGTGGTACGCCACTGGTAAAAACATTTTTTTAATATTTATTTATGATCTACTTTTTATTTTAAACAAAATTATCCTCTTGACTCAACCACCGAACATGGTCAAATAGGCATTGAAAAAAGATTTTTGCATTGAAAATGCTATTAAAAAACTAAATTTCTTGAAATTTTTTAGCACCCTGTAGCTTGGAAAAGAAAACCCGTAGAGCATAATTTTATATGACAAATATTTATTTTTTAAAATAAAAAATCCACTGTTTAATTTATTCCCAACAAATCGTCAAGATTCGTTGAAAAACAACGGAGTTACAGACTGTCAAAGTTGACGGCCTATTGTTAAACAAATTATGTTGGTAGCGGCAAAAGAAAATACTGTCTTAACCGGCAACCCGAGTACTTTCCCGTTAAGTACCGCATAAGAAATATTGTCAAAAGTCAGTAGGTCGCTTGATTTTCGACGATAATATTCATAGTCCTGCCCTTAAAATAGCGAAATTCGTTTGAAAATAATATATTTGACAGTCTGTAACTCCTATGTTTTTCAACGAATCTTGACGATTTTTTTTTAATTTAAAGCTCTATTCATAAGCTTTCCGAATATGTAATAATATATAACTATATCACGCGTATGCGTCGTATATTTCATTATGCAACTAAGGCTAAAAAATACAAAAAAAAATCCAGTTTGCAAATATGAAATTTAAACATAATTTGAAAACTATTCAACCTACCGATTCCAGATTTCGTGTGCGCTCTTAGACAGTGATAAGGAATGAGAGGATGCGATGCCAAAACGTTCTGTTAATAATAACGCAGTTTATAAATGATTAATTCAAAAGTCATAAATAAACATCTTCTGTTTATAACTTTTGATCTAATCAATATTTTTTGACGCTCGAAAAAAAGTACTCTGCTGTTTTCTCGTGGAAATGAACGGAAAAAAGTTATACGTAAACGAAAAANTTGGAAAAGAAAACCCGTAGAGCATAATTTTATATGACAAATATTTATTTTTTAAAATAAAAAATCCACTGTTTCATTTATTCCCAACTGTTATGTTACACGCGTGATATTGTTATATATTATTACATATTCGGAAAGCTTATGAAAAGAGCTTTAAGTTAAAAAAAAATCGTCAAGATTCGTTGAAAAACAACGGAGTTACAGACTGTCAAAGTTGACGACCTATTGTTAAACAAATTATGTTGGTAGCGGCAAAAGAAAATACTATCTTAACCGGCAACCCGAGTACTTTCCCGTTAAGTACCGCATAAGAAATATTGTCAAAAGTCGCTCGATTTTCGACGATAATATTAAAATAGCGAAATTCGTTTGAAAATAATATATTTGACAGTCTGTAACTCTTATGTTTTTCAACGAATCTTGACGATTTTTTTTAATTTAAAGCTCTATTCATAAGCTTTCCGAATATGTAATAATATATAACTATATCACGCGTATGCGTCGTATATTTCATTTTGCACCTAAGGCTATAAAATAAAAAAAAAATCCAGTTTACAAATATGAAATTTAAACATAATTTGTAAACTATTCAACCTACCGATTCCAGATTTCGTGTACGCTATTAGACAGTGATAAGGAATGAGAGGATGCGATGCCAAAACGTTCTGCTAATAATAACGCAGTTTATAAATGATTAATTCAAAAGTCATAAATAAACATCTTCTGTTTATAACTTTTGATCTAATCAATATTTTTTGACGCTCGAAAAAAAGTACTCTGCTGTTTTCTCGTGGAAATGAACGGAAAAAAGTTATACCTAAACGAAAAACGTGAATTTACGTAAAAATTATACAATTAACCACCCTCTAAACAATCTCCCCCCCAATTTTATGACTGTGGAAACTAATATGTTAATATTTAGCATCTATAGTGATAAATTCAGCTTGCCGAAATAAAAAGTCGCGTCCAACTCTATATTTCCTGGCCTATTAACCTAAGAAAAAAGTTCCCGTGTTTTCGAAAATTATTAATTTCCGTGATACAGGCTGTCAAAACTAGTATCCACGTAAATACATATACAGTGTAGGAAAGTACCGATGGTCTATCAGAAGTTACGTGAGAGCGATAAAGTAAGCCATAGAAATCCATGTGATAGACAAGGATGGCTATAATGAAGGCGTCTAATAGTCAACGCTCATTTCGCCCTTCCACAAATAAGATCCACTTCTTATTTCACGTTTACCGTGAATTATTACGCGGATTATCTTTGTGAAACAGATGTGAAACAAGAAAAGATATAATTTAATTAAAATATTACATTATTTAATTATCTCGGTATGTCAAGTATGTGTTTTTCCGTAAATATTTAAAAAGATATGTTACTTTTCCCTCAAGAATTTAAGTATCAGTTGTATGTTGTTTGACAGTACTTGCTGGAATTCCAATTCGCCGAGCTATGGAAAATAAACCAATGAATTAAACATCAACCATGCGTTACTGTATTATAAAACACTATAGGGGATGTAATTACTAAATTGAATAGTAAATTACAATTTGATTGAAGCATATAGCAGCGGGTGTATTTCATGATGGGTAGCCTGTCGATATTAATTGCTGTGTCATGCACCGTTACCTTAAATGCACCAGAGATGAGGCAACTTCGTACGGGAAATTCGGTGCTTACGTTCTTATGTAATAACTCACCCTTAACGCTGAAGTTGCATTTGGTCGCGGCTTAGAGCACTTTGTCATCCCAAAGCTCATACCGCACGTCAGGATAAATATTTCGATAAGACGAATAAAAAGTATTTGCTCTCATTTCTACACATCACAGTGAGAACATGATAACGGGAGGGAAGATATTTGAATTTGCATAAAGTAAAATTATAGACGGTTTAAAGCTCCCCAGACCGATATCTGAAAAACTTAGAGATATCTAACACTTGCAACAGGTTTAACTATGTTCTGAATTGAAAAAAAAGTTTATTACTAGAAATTTTTACAAAGTGTGGTTATGTCGCAAGTCAATGGGCGCTATACAAAGCTGGTATGTAATTAAAATTGTACAAGCAGTCGACGTTCGATCACGCATGACGGCTTTCCGAGTTCACCGGCACTGATGAGCATTCGGTTGTGTTTTCTACGAGAAATACGAAACATTCGGGACTGGGAATACGACACAAATTACATTTTCAAATATTTTGAACGCCTCTTATCTCTTTAAGAGATTTTATTTCTTAAATCACCCATTTTTCAGATTAGATATTAACAAATATGTCCAAAACTAACCGATATTTTTCTAATACAACCGTGGTTAAAGTTTGATTCACTCAAACTGGGATCCCCCGTTTAAACAATATCAAAACCGAATCCTGGAAAAGCACGTCGCAAGCTCTATCTCTAGAAGGTGGAAATGGTCCCGTAAACAGCTTAAACACACTGCATGCGCTTATCTTTGCGTATGCTCCCTTTGTTAAACGTAAAATATTCCACGCCTGTGTTTATGAAAAAGGGGCCTATTCACTCCCGGATTTTGCCGGCTGTATAATCTAACTAATGATATAGAAAACAATCGTTGCTCGGAATTGGTTTTCCTGAAAGAAGGGCATCATTGTGCTGAGAACAGATCGGCGCCAAATAACTTTTTAGCAGGGTTGAGATGAAGGGGCTCAGGTCATTAGATGAAACTGCACTTATTTTGATACAACGTTTTCTAATTCACCAAGAAATAGCAGCAGCAGGACGTCACAAAACATAAAAGTAATTACATTGTAACATTGTGTCAAAGAAATAGTGTAGCGAAGTTTGAGATCTTAAAATGAGAGGGACAATATCTTTAAACTGACTTTCTGTTAAAAAATTTTAATAATGTTGTTAATAAAATGTTTAAAATGACAGTAACAGTAGAAATTGAATGTAGGACATTAGCAAATGAAAAAATTTCACAATGATGTTTTTATAAACACATTTTTTCTTAAATCAGTTGTAACATCTTTAGAGTTTGGAAGAAAACATTCAATTTATTTTTAACTGAGGACACTTTCATTAAATTTGTATTGAAAACCTGGTTTCTACGAATGACAGCTCTTGAAATTCAACAGACCCAAAAGTAATGCTTAATTCTCAAACAGTAAAAACAGTGATTTATTTCATTCTTGAGGTAATATAAAAATTAGCAAGGCCCTTCGTAACAGTGCGAAAGGACACCGACGAGATAATTCCAACTTTTTAAGTGACTTGGAAGTCCTTTTCATTAAAGTTACCCTTGTTACGTGCTCCACAATTTGTCTTTAGTTATCAACTTTCAAATTACATTAGGACAACTTTTATTCCCAGCGCAAGAAAATATTTTTCCATTAAAATTTTTTGATAGTTGATACCATTGTTTGTAGAATACACTTAAAAATATATAAAACGTATTTATTCCACATATACTCGCTTTTAACTATAGCCAATTTAATCAAATCCTACTACATGTAAAGCGATATTATAATGGAATATAAATTTGAGCGTATAAATTTAATGAAAAATAAGGAAGATGTTATATCGTGCTCAAAGTTTCCCAATCTCAACGAACAAACTTTCGTCATAAATACAATTATCTGAAAATTTAATAAGAAGTTAATGCCGATATCAGTTGGGTAATAACGGTGATAATGAGACAAATTTGAACGAGGGACAATCTCATACATTTTATGCTTCTTTACCATCGGACGGACATTTATATTAGATTTCTATCAATAATTTTATCTGAAATATATGTACGTTTCATTTTTCAAACCGTAAATTTAAAGTTTCTGTTTTTGCATCTCTTTCCATAATTAATTTGAGTAACTCAAGTGTTTCAAATAAGTACTTATAAAACTCAACTTACCGCATGTATGGAATGAATTACTTTATAGAGCATTTTTCTAGTGGAAATTTAATTTACTGCTCATGTTCAGAAAAGTTAGCAGCTAATTACAGAGCAAATAAAATTATTATGTCCTGGCAAAACATATTATGAAAAAGATTGCATATCTGTTTTTTTTTTATTTTAAACACAACCATAATTTATTATACAGGGTGGCCAAATGAAAACGAAACAGGGCCATTTTCAGGAACTGCGTTAAGATTATAGAAAAACGCTCAGACCCGTCGATTTTATAAAGGGGGACATTCTTTGTTGGTATTTTTGAATCCGCCACCTTCACCCCCAAGCTAGGGGAAGCATCACCCCAAAATATTTAAATGGCATTGGGGGTTGAAATCTCTTACAATTCTCTTTACAGACTTTAAATTTTATAATTCCGCCCAATACTTAATAAAGAATTTTGATTTTAAAATTGAAACTCATGTACAAACAATTAGTAACGGTAAAAATGTCAGTCGTTCGAGTTAAGTACGCCAATAGTATAAATTTAATATTTCTTGCGTTACATTGGTTTTTGGCGGTCTGTTATCACTTTCGTAAAAAAAACACAATTGTAAAAAACAGAAATAAATGCTATACACACACAATGAACGTAAAATTAGTGGATTCCAAATGATTTTCTGGTATTATTTGGAAGCGTTGGTTGATAGTTTATTTAATTGTGTTTTTGAAAATTAAACACTATGGTTTATTCCATTAGCAGAAAGGGTAGATATCATTTCGCTTTACTTTATAAACAATAAATGTGCGAATAGAACAGCTCAGCTATTTAATGAACAGCATCAAGATCGACATGTCAGGAGGAAGTATGTTCTAGAGTTAGTAAAAAAATTTCAAAAGACAGGGAACGTAGCCAATAAAAAGCGAGAAATTGAGAAACCTATAGTTAATGAAGCTAGTGAAGTTGCAGTTTTGGGATAAGTTCATCTTGATCCTACATTAAGTACGAGGCAGCTAGCATCTGTGTCTGGGATCAATCGAACTAGCATACAAACCATTTTGAAGAAGACAAAATACATTTAGTCCAGGAACTTCATGAGGATGATTATGACCGCCGTTTGCAATTTTGGAAATAATGAGTGAGCGAGCAGGGAACGATCCACAGTTCCTTCTTAACATCTGTTTTTCTGATCAATGCAGTTTTTTCTTGAACGGGACGGTAAATCGTCGCAATTGCCGCTATTGGTCCTATTCAAACCCAAGCGTTTTTCACGAGGTGTATACACAGCAACCGGAAAAAATAAATGTATGGACTGGAATTTTCGGTGACCGACATTTACATATAAAACTAAGAGTACCGTCTTAAATGGAACACCCTGTACGACACTTGGTAATGTTATTGGTACCAACTATTAAAATTTCGACTTTAACAACACGCAACATTTCACAAATTTCACAAGGTCCGGTACATAAGAAACGCAAAAACATCAGTCAACTCACCTTTCTTGCTGGCATGAAAACTGTCGTCCCGTGGCACATATTGGATGTCGTACACGAGGGATGTGTAAGGTAAAAGCGTCTTATCTCTGTTTATTTTGTACACGGCGTGTTTGAAAGCTAATTCAGTGGAACTGTCTTTCTGATCCTCCGTAAATATCGCCCCTGAAAATATAAAAGGCACGGTAACTGATAGGAAATACATGGTGATTACTAAGTCGAGCAGAACAACAGAGGGGGATTTTTTCATCTGTTCCGCTATGCTCTCTGATTGAAGGATTACCGATAGGGAATCGTTCGGTTTGTTTTTGTAGTCTTGATGAGTGATAGGTTCCAAAATGTTGGTTTAAATCGGCTTAATGGTTGATTCATTCCATTTTTTTTGTAGGATTAAATTTTTCCATGCGGAACTAATGTGAAATAAGTATTTCAATAATCTAGACTGTATTATGAATACGCAGATACTATTAAAAAAAAACGTACTTATGTTCTATTAGCAGATTTCGTATTTTTGTCTATTTTACAGGTATTTAAAGGAGCGTTTTAATAAGACAATATTTATAAATGTTTCTGAAGTAAATAAATTAGAATTTCCGTCAACAGCTACAAAAATATGCAAATACCAGGTTTAAATAGATGAGTAATTGAAAGTTTCATAAAATTAAATAGAAATTGACGGCATTTCCGCCCAAGACAGATATCACAAAAATAAGACATAAAAACCTTATGCCGTACAAAAATAACCGTTCTGGAAAGAATAAAAAATTTTCATTTTCCAAATATTTTCACTATTGTAAAAATTATAGAAAACTGTACAGCCTGCCTGATTTTAAATAAAGATATTTTTATATTTCACTATGCCGTACGAATGCACCGGTTCTAAGGGCTTTTAACCCTTGCTCAGCCCTTACCTTTTACGTAGAATAAGGAAAATTATTAGAGGCACCCTAAAATTAAAAATTTAGAAAGGGCTATATAAAACTATACCTCAAGTCATTATGCCGTACATTTTTTATGGCACATGATGTCACAGTAGGGAAATGAATTTTCCGCTCAAGGGGTGGATATTTTAGTGAAAAATTCCTGTACGGCAATTGTGCCCCTTTCGAATTAATTAAAAATTAACTATTAATGTAAATATCGTGGCACTAAAGGGAAAAAAGGCCCCAAAGTTCCAAAAAAACATTTTCATATAACTGCATTTTTTTTTTCCATGCAAAAGTTTTTAATATGTGTACGCATATCTATAATTGAATTTGTTTGTTTTTCCACAATTTATTTTTTATTTTTCAATTATGCCGTATATATTTTGAATCCAATACAACAATAAGATAAAATATCAACAAATGTCATTAGGATCAACAAGATTTAATTAACTTTTCATTTCATTATTTTAGTAATCTATTTTATAAAATAATTGTCTAAAAATAATTTTTTTTGTAAAAAAAATAAAATATAAACGTTATTAATATTTCTTTCAAATATCAATTTAATTTTTTGGTAATTATTATAAATTTTTTGCATTGAAAAAGATAAATTCTAAAACATAT